GCCCTTGGCCGAGAAAGCCCCAGAAATTTACTGGATATGACGCTCTGGGAAGGTCACTGAGCCTCAGTTTCCTCATCAATAAAATAAGAGGGTTGGATTCAATGGCCTCTAAGGTCTCTTCCAGCTCTGATGGTCTGTGGGTTATGATTCTGTTAGAAGACATTTGGAACAGAAGGAGCCCTTTCCCCACAGTCCACAATCACACTTCGTCCACAGCCAGGCAAAGGCTAAGGGAACCTGAGATAGGATGGACAATCTGGGATGTGTGCACAAATGGATTATGGGTGAGGATAGATAAGGGGGAAGTGGTTCTACCTGCTTTCATATACATCTGTCCCTTAGGGCTTCTGGCAACTGGGGAAAGGGACTGAGGACAGAAGTTAAAATTAAAAGATGGGGCCTTTAGCCCTAGGCCTTGCTGAATCCTGTCCTACTTACCTGGAATTTTTCTCCTTTCAGCTGAGACACCTTGCCTTTGGCAAAAGACTTTCTCCTTGTATGCTTCAGTTTAAACAAACGTCTCTTTGTGTTTCAGGGAAGGGGACACAGGAGGTTTAGATAGACACAGAGTCTTGCTTCCCTGGCCTCTTATGACTTAGTTTAGTAGGGTGAATGTGACATTCAGATAACTATGCAGTATTTCAAGGCGAGTTCATCAGAGAGGTACAGGTGAAGTCTGAGATTGGAGAGGATGTTTTGTTACTAACTGGGCAAAGCAAAGGAAGACTTCTCCAAGGAGGTGGCCCCATTGGAGATGGACTTTAAAAGCCGAGTGGGGATGAAACAGGGACAAAAGGGGTGGGAAGATGCTCCAGGGAAATGTTGGGGGAATATTTGGGGGAACCAGAGGTACCCAGTTAGGGTTGGAGCCTGGTCTAATAAACCCAGGCCCTAAGTTACCCAAGGGAACTAGGTGGCAAGTGTGTGGGTACCTGCTACCCATCTCTTACACTCTAGTTTTTGCTTACCTGGGCTGATACTATGGGTAAAAAGGTAGACCATCTTCCCCTTCCTGATTGGTGCACTTTGCCCCATTGTCTTCATTTTGCACTCTTGTGTTCTCTCCAGCTGTCCCTCATTACAACCCACTCTAGGAAAAAGGATGGAAGGCTAGAGCGAGGAGGGACCTTAGAGATGGTTCTTGTAGTCTGGCCCCTTAATTTGACAAGGGTCTTGTTCCAGGTTCCACAGCTGCAAAGCAGCAGCTGAGACTCCAGCAGGTCTCCCTAGGGCCATATTGTTTCTGCGACACAGATTTGTTGCACTGTGGGCATTGGACCTCCTGGACTGTACTCGAGCCCTTCCTATTTTTGATTGTTGAAATTCTTACCCATTCACTAAATCCACTTCAAATGTCAACTTCTCCAGGAAACTGTCCCAACTTTAGGCTGCACTTTTTTTTACATCTCTGATATATTTAACTATAATAATATATGTTATTATGCAACAGTAGCCATGTTTGTGTCTTGACCTTCTTCTGGAATGAGAGGATAAGGATCAACCACGTCTATGCATCTCCCCCAGCAGCACAGAATTTTATCCTCAGTAAGGGTTTAAGAAATATTTGGGGAATTGAAGCTGAGCCTCAGAGCTATTGATCACAGACTTTAAAGGTCATTTGGCAGAGTCGTTATGGATGATTGATTCAGGGTTATTGATTATTCATCAAAGGCTTATAGATTTAGAGCTAGAAGGTCCAATCCCCTCACTTTACAGATGAGGAAACAGATTCCTGAGGGGTTAAATGACTTGCCCAGGGTCACACAGATAGTAAGGTTCTGGGATGGCTTCAGAACTAGGTTTTCCTTATTCCAAGTCTAGCTGTTCGTTACAAGCATACTCCTCCTCCCAGAATCTACGTTGGGTTAAGAATCAAAAACTTCAGCTAACAGGATGGTGCTTCACTTCAAGAATTTCAGGTACCTCTTGGTGGTTTGGGGAGCTCTTCTGTGAGGGTCTCGGGGACTGCCTGGACCTGTTGGTGCATCCCTTCCTCCAATTCTGAGATCTCTCCTTCTTGAATAACTGAGAGAGCTGGTTTTCCCTCTACCCTTTTGGGGCAAGTCCCTTCCTCTGCTCAGGGCCTCGGTTATCTTCTTATTTATAAAATAAGGGGTTTGGGTTCCATGCTTGCTAGGAAGCACCTTCTATGGGCCAAGCCTGGGATAGGCTCTAGGGCCAATGTAAAAATGGCCAATAACTACAAGATATATTGCAGTAGTAAGTCTGTATGAGGGTTGAAGTAGAGGATGCCATTACTGGGTGGAATGGTGGTTGGAGTGATAGATCAAGGAAGGCTTCTTGGAAAAGGGAGTGTTTGAGGGGGCTTTGAAAGATGTATAAAAACGCATCAGGTGAAAATATGGAGGCAAGACATTCTAGGCCTCAGAAACAGCCTGAGCATTGGTGCAGAGGTGAGAAATAGGGGGATTAATTGGGGGGAGAGAGAGGACACAGGATTGTCTACTTGGATGGAGCTCAGAGTTCAGGGAAGAGTGTTGTGTGAGAAGTGTGGAAAAGTGGATGCTGCAGCTCGTGGGAAGCCTTGACCGTTAGGCACAGGAGCTTAACAAGTACTTGGGAGGCCACGGGGAGCTCTGGAAGGGTTTTTGAGCCTTCGTGACTATGAGTGATGTGATCAGATCTCTGAGCTAAAAAAAAAAAAATCCTAGTGGAATAATGTGTTAGGCTGGAGGAGAGAGGAGCCATAAGGCTGGCTATCAGTCAGAATTGGAAGGGAACCTTAAAGATCATTTAGTTCAATCTTCCCATTTTACAGACCAATAAAGTGAGTCCCAGTAAAGAAAAGGGACTTCGCCAAAGTCACAGAGGTAGTGTGAGATCAGAAGCAGGTTTCAAACTTGGGTCCTGGTTCTAACTCCACTGGTCTTTCTACTGGGGTGCAATGTTTCTAGGTGGGTTATAACAAGGTCCTGTACAGACAATGGTGGCTGAGGAAACAGAAGAGGAGGGGGTGAATAGGAGAACTTCGGGTTGTTGTAGGAGAGACGCTGGTCTTCAGAAGAGCTGGGTTATACTCCTGCTCACCTGCTTACTAGGCTTAAGCCCATTATGTCATATCACAAGGCATCAGTTTCCCACTCTGTAAAATGGGGATAATGACCTTTGCACTGCCTTGTTATGGGAGAAAAATGATTCGTCAGCCTTTAAAAAAATTATGTTCTCCAGGGACTGCTCTGGGCCGGAGGGCATACTTACTGTTTACAGTATTCTGGCTAGCCTGGGAGGGTCTTCTGGCCTGCTGTTGGTCCCCTACCCCTGAAGTTAGACAATGCTGCCTCCTCCTGGCCGTCCTAGGCCAAGGGACGGGTGCGGGGTGGAGAGTGGGGGAGGAGGAGGGGGCAGGGCAAGCTGGTTGGCAAGAGCAGTTGCTGACTGGTTGTGAGGTGCCCCAGCGAGAACTCGAGGCCGTGGTACATCTCGGGTTTCTCCGGGTAGGGAGGGCTCCAGGCTGGCCGGCCTAGGTTTCTGATGACTCTGGACACATGCTGAGTGTGTATTACCGGTCCCTCCTGGGAGGGACAGGGGGAAGGTGGGAGGTGGTTGTGGTGCCCTGGCCCTGGGAAACAGAGCCTGTCTCTTCACTGTCTCTTAAGCACAAAGCAGAATTCTCCTCTTCTCACTCTTCCCCCTCTTCCCCATTCCCCTTTTCCCACCTTTCCTTTCTCTCTGCCCTATGGTGTGCCCCCTCCTCTCCCCTCCCCCTTCCCAGGGTTTCTCTTTTGTCTTAAGCCCTTGGGTGGGTATCAACAAAGAAGCCATACTCCCACTTTATGGCTGGATAGACCAAGGCCAGCAAGAAGTAAATGAGGGATTCATCAGGCTGCCAACCTGGTGTGGTTTGAGAAGTGGTAGGAAGGTTCCTCCCCCTCACCTCTCCCTACACCTCCTACCTACTAGTCTTGTTTCTGGGGATGCTGCCTAGAGTGGTTAAACACACACATACACCCCACACATATACACACATACACATACCACACGCATGTTCAGTGGTTTCTAGTCATATCCAACTCTTCATGATCCTGTCTGGGGTTTTCTTGGCAAGGATATTGGAGTGGTTTGCCATTTCCTTCTCCAGTTCATTTTACAGATGAGGAAACTGAGGCAAACAGTTAAGTGACTTGCCCAGGGTTCCAGAGCTAGTAAGTGTCTGAGGTCAGTTTTGAACTCGGGTCTTCCTGACTCCAAACCCGGCACACAAACATACACATATACACAACGTATGTTCATACACATGTATGTATACACATACAGAATTTATAGCAAAAGGGCCTGGATTTGAATCCTGACTCTGCTACCTGTGTTATTTTGGCCAAAACCACTTAGCCTCCTTCAGTTCTCATATTTTTTATTCTGAATTCTCTTCCAGCTTTGGCATTCTACAGTCCTCTAAGTGTGGAGCTAAGGCTGGGTGAGATAGCATTTAGCCTGTATCAGTCCCTAACATTTTAGTATGAGTTATCAGCTTTCTTTTTTCTTCTAAGTTTGAGTTTTGGTGTGGAGTTTTAGGGGTAGGGGAGCAGAAATGATATAGTGGAGGTGGTCTTACACCCTGCTATAGGGGAGGTGGGAAGGCACTGAATATAGGCCTGCCAACTTTCCTGACTTTGCATAGGACTTTCTGAGAGGCCTCTTGGCTATTCCTAGCCCTCCCCCAAGTTGTACTCTGTTCAGCTTATAAATAATACCTCCACTAAACACTGTTTAGAACTCTACAGCTCTGGTCCAATGGGGATTGTCTCTTCAACCCTCCATATTGAAATAATTTCCCCAATTCTTATCCTGCTTGACCCTGACAAGACAGAAGCCCTGAATGTCAGAGCTGGAAGGGATCTCTTAGGGGCCATGGATCTAGTCTAACCTGCTAATTTTACAGATGAGCAAACCAAGGCCCATTGATGGGGATTTAGTCATGCAGCAGGTAAGGATGTGAATATTGCTAACCTGGGCCTCTGCCCTTCTGTCCCCCTGCTGCGTAGGCTTCAAGGAGACCGCCTTCCTCTATGCCATCTCCTCAGCCGGCCTGACCCACGCCCTGGCTAAAGCATGCAGCGCTGGGCGCCTGGAGCGCTGCACCTGCGACGAGGCGCCGGATCTAGAGAACCGGGAGGCCTGGCAGTGGGGGGGCTGCGGGGACAACCTCAAGTACAGTAACAAGTTTGTCAAAGAGTTCCTGGGGAAGAAGTCCAGCAAGGACCTGCGTGCCCGTGTGGACTTCCACAACAATTTGGTGGGGATGAAGGTGAGTGGGGGCTCCTGGCAGAGCGGGAGGAAAGGATGGAAGGAGTGGCCAGGTAGTTAAATTAAAGACCCACTATAACATTCCCATCAGATGATGATCCCCAGCCTTGGAGACCTCCAATGAGGGGGTACCTCCCAGCACTTCCCAAGGCAGCCCATTCCACTCTGGGAGAGCCCTAGTGATTGGGGACATCAATTCCAAATTTACCAATTTGTAACCTCTACCCATTGTTCCTGGTCCTTGTGGATATTCCTATGCTATTTCTCCCCCAGTCACCTTCAGGGTCATACCTTTCCCAGAAGTGTAGATGGATCCCCTTGAACCATCCCAATTCTCTGGTCACACCTACCTTAGGATGATTGGATTTAGAGCAGGAAAGTGATCTAGTCAAAACTCCCCATTATACATATGGGGAAAACTGAGGCCCAGAAGGGTTTCATACTGGTATATATATGCCCAAGGTCATACATAGTGTATGTGGTATCATTGGGATTTGAACTTAGATCCTCTGATTTCAAATGCCATGTTATTTCCATGGTATAATTACCTTGTGACCCATGGTGTATATCTGATATTTCTTTTGTGTTTCTGGGTAGCTTCCTTGAGTTACAGAGAAACATCCCACAGGGGAGAGCCTTCAGGAGGCGTGTCACAACGGGGATCTTTGGACCCTAGGGTTTGTAGTATTTATAACCGGAAGCTCCTTCAGCCTCACCTTTTCATTTGTCTTTGGAGTATGTGGTCATGTTTATCCTATATACATTCTCTCTGGAGTCACCAGCATGGGATGACTGTGGGCCTGGAAGTGGGCTGTGGCCTAGAACAAGGAGTGCTCTCTCTTTCCATCCACCTCTCACTCGTAGGAGAGATTGTTAGGGCAAAATGGTGGAAGGTCTTGGCTTGCTTCCCTTCCCATGTGGCTGCAGGAGGTCCTCCTTAGCTCCCGACTGCTCAAATCGTCTTCATCCTTGGAGGCTTAGTGCAAGTACTTCCTCTTTAAGAAGCCTTCTCTGACCTTCTGTGCCCACGATGGTTTTTCCCTCCTCTGTGAGCCGATAGCCTTTATTATCTCCCTGTTCTATGTGTCTTTCTTGTTGCTCTAATTAGATTCTAAGCTTCCTGAGGGTGGCAATCTTATCTTTTCCTTTCCTTCAATCCCTCCTGAGCTGGGTATACAGTAGGTACCCACCAAAATTTAGAACATAAAAGGTCAGAACTGTTAGTGACCTTAGGTCATGGAATGTCAGAAATGGTAGAGACCATAAAACATGAAATATTAGGGTTGGAAGGAACCTTAAAATTTGTATAATGCAGTCTACCTCATTTTACAAAAGGGAAAAAACTGTGATTTTTTTGGTGTGTTTGTTTGTGATGAAATGATTTGTCCCTCTATTAAGCGAGGTCTTTTGACTCCCTCTTCACTGACTTTTCCCTACTACCTCTAAAGGCATAGAACATAGAATGTTAACAAGACCCCAGAATGTGACCTGCAACTAGTATGATGTATTTGACTTGTAGCTAGGAGAGATCTGGGTTTGAATCTCATTTCTGACACTCAGCTAGGTGACCATGGGCAAAGCACTTTGCTCTCTAAGCCTGAGTTTCCTCATCTGTAAAATGGGAACAGTAATACCAATAGTCATCGTCTGACAGGATTGTCGTAAGAATAAACGTAAGTAAAAAAAAATAAATATAAGTGCTTTGTAAACATTAAAGCATGATCTAACTATATGGTGATGGTTGTTATCATTAGTAATAAAAATAATAACAATATTAATAATATAAGCACCAAAAACGAGCTTAGAAATCATCGAGTCTAAGACTCTTTTTTTATAGAGAAATAAAGGCTCAAATTCTCTTGCCCAACTCAGTGAGTTAGTGGCATAGCTAAGTCTATAATTAATAATAATGATAACAACAATAGCTAGCATTTACATAGCACTTTAAGATTTGGGAAACACTTTACAAATATTGTGTCATTTGATGCTCATTACATCCCTGGGAGGCAGATGCTATTATTATATCCCCCATTTTACAGATGAGGAAACTGAGGCAGACAGAGGTTAAGTGACTTGCTCAGGGTCACACTGCTAGTAAGTGTCAAGTGTCTGAGGACAGGTTTGAACTCGGGTCCTCCTGACTCCCAGGGCTGGTGTTCTATCCACTGCACCACCAAGCTGCCCTTAAGATGAAGCTTTTCCAGAGATCTATGATTTCATCTGAATAGATCCCCAGCTTTGCTCTACTAAGACAAACCATAGCCCCTGTATACCTTAATAGACAGTTCCATGATTTGCTGTGGCCAAAAAAGTCACCACCCTGTGGCTATGCTTCTGGTGATGAGCCTCCTCGAACTTAGCCTGTATGTCTGTTGTCTCAGGACTGACCAACTTAGCCGCCTCTGGCCTGTACTCAAAGACCTTCTAGTTTGCTAAGAGCTGCCAGAGGTAAAGTTGTTGGTCCCAGGAGAAGTTGATGGAGCAGGATTTCAGTGGAGGCAGATAGAATTAAACACAGATAAATATGAAGTTTAACATTTAGATGAAAAAACGATCTACTGTCTAGGAACAAGATGGGAGGGGGTGGAGTCTGTTTACCAGCTGCTAATGTGGAAAAAGACAGGGGTAGGTGCTCAATGACAGCAGTTGCTTTAAAAAAAAAAAAGGCTCTCACCATCCTCGGTCAGCATAATGTCCAGAAAAAGGGAGGAGATAGTCCCACTGGACTCTGTGCTGGTAGGTAGGACTTGGGTATGGGAGGGGGAGTGGGATTAGAGATTTACTGAGTTGAATTCTGTGATTTATTGGTATAATATAGAAGCAGTGTGTTGTAGGAGAAAAAAATCATTAGTCAGCAGTCCTGGCATGGATATTTACCGGTTGTGTGACCCCTGGGTCGTGATCTGTAGACCATTATCTAATCTCCCTTTCTTCATATCCCTAGTGCTTAGCCCAATGCCTGGTACACAGTAAGTGCTTAATAAATGCTCATTACCGACTGACCACAACCCCCTAATTTTACAGATAAGGGAGGTAAATGACTTCCTCAAAGTCACAGAGGCAGCTGAGTTGGGATTCGAATTCCAAGCCTTTTGGTTCCAAAATCAATGTTTCCACTATAGCCAGGCTGGCTTCCTGAATTGGTTTCTCCCTCCATGAAATTGGAAGAATGAGCTTTGCACTGTGTGCTCTGCAGGGTCATTGTAAGGAGAACATTTTGCAAGCCTTAAAGAAATGGGAGCTATGGTGCTGATGACGACGATTCTCTTCCTTTTTGAGGCTGCCCGCCGTGATTATGTGGCCAGGTTGTCATTACCCAATCTGCCAGGTCTCTGCGGGGAGCTCCCGGGCTTTTGGCGCTAGCCCTGTGAGGAGAAGAGCCCGACCACGCCGGTGGTCTCTCCCCATCTCCCTGACAGCATGCTTTTTCCCTGTTTCCCGCCTGCCGGCTGGCTTGTCTTTGGAATAGGCCCCGTGGTGCTGAGCCGGGGGATGGGGGAAGGCTTCGTAACTGAGCCAGTAATCCCCGGGACAACACAGCCCTCCTCCCTCCCCACCCCCACCCCCTACCCCCAGACAGGGGCTGTGTGTCTCTAGCTGGGGGGAGGCTGGCCTTTTCCAAGGAGTCCAGAGCATTTTCTTTCCCCTTCACATACTTTCTCCCTCCTAATCTATCCCCCAGTGGTGCCCCCAGCCCAGGAGTCCATCAGACCTGTCATGTCCTGCTAAGTGCCTGCCATATGACCTCAATAGCTAATGAAAGACCCAGCTTGTCTGGTGTGAAGATGAGGTAATTAGAGTGAGGACTTCTGTGAGCTCTCTTTTATTGGGAAGCAGAAGTTCTGAATTACCCACTTATTAAAAAACCAATTTCCCCCCTTTCTCTGCCAAAGCCCCTCTCCCGCCTTCAGCTGTTTAAGGGGAGGTGACGGGGTCTCCAGCCCCGTTGCTGGGGAGGGTGGTCTCGAGTGCAGATTAAATCAGAAAGGCCCAGTTTCCTTTCTTGTCTCTCTTGCCCCTTACCCCACCCCAAGCCCCTCCAGACTATGACTCTTTTGTAACCTATTAATGAAAAGTCAGAATATTAAAAGCACTCAATTAGTTCCACCGGGCCAGGATAAGTGATGTTTTAATTAAATTCGTCCAGGTTTCTCAGCAAAGCATCATCAAACGTGACTCCTTTCCCTACTCCCGTCTCAGAGAGCGTTCCCAAGCCCCCTAATCCCCCTAGGAAGCCTGCCCTTTCCTGAGCTAGGTCTGGCCCCTGGAGCATGGCTGGCCTCGGACAAGGACAAGGAACTGGACGGGGGGAGGTTCTCGGGGTCCGTTTTCGCAGCCTCCTTTCTGGGATGTTCCCTTTCTTAAACTGTTGTTCTATTTTGATACTCAGCAGTGTGCTATAGCGGGGAAAACAGTCAGCTTTGAGTTAGGAGACCTGGGTTCGAGGTCTGACTTTGCTATTAACTAGCTAGCTGGGTGACTTTGAGCAAGTTATTTAACATTTCCAGGTCTCAATTTCCTTTTTTTTTTTTTTTTTGAAGGGAGTTGCTCTAGATAGCCTTCGAGGTTCCTT